TATCAAATACTCATGTCTACTGTCCCTTAGAGCTGCGAAAAAATCAAACTTCTAAGCCAACGCAATCAAAAGATACAGCCGTTTATGCCGCAAATTTTCGACATTCCCAAGGGAATCAAAACCTACAGGGTACTTCCCGTGAACTCAGAATCTTGAAATTTGGTACGAAGCAACGTTTTATAGCACAGATAAAGGAAAAATTGCGAAAATCATAAATTTTTAGTTACATCATATAATAAAAATATTTTTAATAATTTAAAACTTATATACCTACAAATTTGTTCGGAACCCTCGGTGCGCGAGTTCGACTCGCACTTTGCCGGTTTTTTGACCAGGGACCACTTTGATATCTTTTTTGTTAGCAGGGACCACAAGGTGAAAGAAAACACTATGTTAATCTGACAATAAATTTTAATCAAACTTTTAACATAACTATACGATAAACTGGAAAGAAGCATTCATTCACAGTATTATAATTTGTGTGTTTATTGTAAAAGAAATCATACATGTTTGGTAAAAAATTGCTATTTTGATTACGACGCGACGTGCGGCGTTGCACTACCCGCGTGACGAGAATATAATAAATGTGTTATTTAAAAGGATTAGCTAGGTAAAATATTTAAATCTTTCACTTTCACGGACCATATTAATTTAAGCTCTTGCGGACCACTGGTTGGGAATCACTGCTTTAAAACAATCCATACTATTACATTTTTTCCAGTAGTCAGTTTCAGATTTCAGTTGTTAACCGAAAACATTCTAAATAATAGTAAATACAACGTCCACTTGAGTGATTTCTTTTTAATGTTGCTTACATTATTAGTTATCACCTATGTTTTACAGTAATACGAAAGTATACATATTGCTATAAATAATTCTTAAAATAGAGATGATATACCACAGAATAATTAATATGATGATACTTTCATTTTTGTTATTTATATTACAAAGTGAGCTTTATACGTGTTAGAGCCACGCTGCAGCTATATCATGGTTATAGCACAAATGGTTTCAAGGACTACATTTACAGAATAAAAGCGTAAAATAAAATAGCACCATAATGCTGCTATGTTTCGTATGATGAGTGTGAATGTGATGCGGAGACCCTTTTTACTGGAAACGAGGCAATCCATCTTAGTCCTCTGGTGTGACAACGCATCTGCATTTTGATGTGTGTTCTCATTTGTCAACCTTATTCCTGTTATAATTACTTATATTAAAAAAGTTGTTTTATTGTGGTGTGCTGTCCGAATGGATTAACTCAATTCAAAGAATAAAATAAATTGCACATTTTCATTCATTGCAAAGTTTCAGAAGTCGGTGCAAAGACATTTGGTATTTTAATATAATATGTGGATTGTTACTATTTTATTCTTTTCAGCTTTGCAGTCGGCTTTTTTCGTTTTATTAAAAGTTTAATTTTTGACTAAGGAATATCACACAGGCTCAATACTGTAAAACATGCTACATATAACAATTAGAATGTCGCCTAAATAGCTACATTTATAGCTATAACCCCAATTTACCCTTGTTTTAAGTGTTTTTTTTTTATTTATTTCATTCCAGCGTTCTCCAACTTAGGCGTTCGCTCCTAGCAACTTCTTTTCTTTTTGATAATGTTATTTATAGTTAAGTGTACTGTTACTTGCCCTATACTCGTATATCTCTTCTGACACACTGTTGTTATATAGGTAAAGTATTTTATAAGTGAAAATTTGTAAATAGCCTTCATTTTTGTTATAATTATATTATTTTTGTAAATTAGCTGTAATCCTATTTTTATTTGCTTGGTAACAAGCAAATAAAATTTCTCTGCAAATTTATATAAGTCAGTTGTATTTATAAAATCAGTTAACGATTTACGAAGATGTCATATAACACGTAACATACATAAAAAAGGAATAAAAATAATCTACAATTAAATTAATACTACGAAAAAAAAAGTAGTTATAAACAGTATTTCCCACCTAAGTCAAATAAGAGTTATTTTTAAAATTATATAAAACGAAATCGCAAACAAAACTTGTCATTTATAAATTAGTTATATCTCATGAAACTATTTCTGAAATATGAATGCTATACCGACGGTGCTACCAAAAATTTTCAACATTGAATGTTTATTTAGGCGTCCACTTCTATGTTTATGTAAGCGTGCCTGCCTCTCAGAAATGCGGGAGTTTTTAACTTCATTAAACTAATATTATGTTTGAATTCTCATAATTTTTTTCGTTTCCTTTCGACCTGTCGAATTTAATTTTAGTCCTAAAGTATTCAAATTCTATATCATAAAATATATAAACCTTTTACTGTATGTTATTGAAGGAAAATATAAATTAACTTTAGTTCATTATTATATTATAATATAGCATTAAATAGATAAGAATCAAGAAATACCATCCCCCAATCCTTACACTGGATCTGATCATGTAGAGATAAAAAATACACTTCTTCCCGCCTTTTTGTAAGTGGACCTTATAAACGCCCCAGTAATGCTATTTTAATTTATTCTCTAACATGCGGGTAACAATACATTTGAACAATAGATTTTTAACAGATACATTGCTGCCACGCTGTACTTCATGTACCTCAAACCACCACGTATGGAGCGCGAAAGATACTACTGTATTTAGAACCGACTTTAATTTGATTATTCAAAAACAACAATAATAAGACTATGGCTTTATGTTTTTCTTTTATTTTTTTTTGTTCGTTAAGTTTGTTTGCTGGATGTGTGATAAGTGATAACAGTCTCATAAATAGGCAATTTTTGTTATTTTAGAAGTATTAGTTCGTAGTTTTTAAAACGCCACGCCGCTCGGATATTTAAGTTTAAATATAATTTTAACTTTAATTTTGCGATATGGGTTCAATAATCTCGTAGCTATGCCATACATACTTTATTTTTGTAAATATTTTGTTGATGTTGGAAAGTTAAATGATGCACCTTACAAAGTTATAAGTTTTCGGGTGCTGAAAGATATAAAATATGTAAATAATTAAAAATGTTATTTCAAGTAGTAAACGAAGCGTGATTTAAAGGATGTTAAAAAGCTTATACACTTTTGAAACTTTTTATGAGATACGTCAACGTCCGGAGCGTCGTCTTTTTATCGTGTTTTTTCATTATCTCGCTTTCACGCGGTCGAATTTAGTAATCAATTTTATCTCCCGGCGAGCATGATGCGATGAGCTAGAGATTTAAAATTTTGAACCTTTCAACAATCGGATGACAATGTAAGAATACAAAAAATAATTTTGTACCTTTAGGCCTTTTAAAAACGTCGTACATTAAAATATAAAATTTCTCTGGAAACTAGGAATTCCATCTTAGTCCTCAGGAGTAACAACGCATTCGCATTTTGATTCTTAATCGAGTATAGATTCATTTATCATCAGGTGGACTGTGTGCTCGTTTATCACTAATATTCTATAAAAAAAAAATATCAACACGACCTATTTGTTGGTCTATAAGTAACGCTAGCTCCTGGGAGGTGATTTATAAATATTGCATAAGCTAACGTTAAAGCAAACCAAACTTTTTCTATTTTATGTGAGGCATAACCGTCACTGACAAGTATCAAGTGTCACTTTAAACTCGAGGTTATGTTTTTCTAGTTGCCGCTTGTGTAGTTTTGTTGTTATATTGCTGAGATTGTTATATTGCTGAGATTCAATTGGTACTTTTTTTATAAGATAAGGGTAACAAACGAGCACACAGTGGACTGTGTGCTCGTTGTGTGCTATGGAGAGGGCTATGCTCGGGGTGTCTCTGCGTGATAAACTTCAACTTCAAAATGAGGATATCCGCAGTAGAACTAGAGTAACCGACATAGCCCAACGGATTAGTAAGCTGAAGTGGCAGTGGGCCATATAGCTCGAAGAACCGTCAACCGATGGGGAAGAAAGGTTCTCGAGTGGCAGCCTCTTACCGGTAGGCGAAGTGTAGGGCGACCCCCACTAGATGGAGTGACGACCTGGTGAGACATGCAGGAAGTCCATGGATGCAGGTGGCTCAGGGCCGTGCTTTGTGGCATTCCTTGGGGGAGGCCTATGTTCAGCAGTGGACTTGTGAAGGGCTGTAATGATGATGATGATGTATATCTTCAAATTTATAAATTTAAAGATAGTGTGGTGTTGGTAAGTCCAAGTCAGTTAATCAGTCAATAGTACTGGAAAACGTCGGTGTATGTATTTCTGCCACCAAACATCAATACTGCAGTGCATGCATTGTTTTCCGGTCTGAACGATATAAAGAGTCAGTATAATTACAGGCTCTTAGGTATTCCATCTTAGTCCTCAGAGGTGACAAACGTGTCTGTGACTGCAGCCAACTTCATATAATTATATATATTCAAATCAAATCAAATCATTTATTTCGCTAAAAACATGGGTACAGACGGATGGATACAGAGTCAGTGTTTCCACATATTTTGCCATTCGCGGCATGCGAAAAAAATTTTTTTAAAATAAATGTGTTCAGAACAAATGAACTAACATTAGAAATTAACACATAATATTCCAGTATGTAACTACCACTTTGTAATGATTGCATTTGTTTTTAGAAGAACATAACAAAATTAGAAAAATAAACTTTAATTCAATTGAGAAGTATCACGCAAAATCCTGGATCTATAGTAGTAACTTACTTAGCTAAACAAAATCAACAAAAAAAATTAAAAGCAAAATTAAAATTTATAGTTAAAGAATTCTTTGATGTTATAAAAGGCAGTATTTATTAGCCACTGCTTTAAACTTTGTTTGATTCGCGTTAATGGCTGTTCACGAATATGACTATCTTTGTTTGAAGTTTGCTGCAGGTGTCCATGGCCTGTAGTGAACACTTATCATAAGGCGGGCTGATTGATTGACTGTAAGTCCGTTTGTCATTTCAGTTTTATAAAAAAACCTCGACCAACTTGATAGTCTTAAGGCCTTGTTTAGTAGTTTTTTTTTTAAGAAATTCTTGTGTACGATACTTTATAATTTATTTTTTCTTGCAGTTTTCTCCAAAGGACAATGCGAGACCGGGCAGTATCGCTTCCTGGCAAAGTCTGGCGGTTTCGCCTGGGTCGAGACCCAAGCGACCGTAATCACCGACAAGCAACAAAAGCCTATCAGCGTCGTCTGCGTCAACTACGTAATCAGGTAGGTCTAGAGTTAAAGATTTTGTAATGATTGTTTTTATAAGTTTTGTGTTTATATTTATTTTCAGTTACGTATAATAGTTTATGTGTATACTAAGAAATTGGAAAAAGGTAAGTGATTTTACAATTTTATTATTACTTAAATTTACTAATACGTTTGTAATTTTTTTTTAAAAAAAGCTATGGTCTACCGCTGTATACGATTTTTTAGTCAAGTTGTATAACGATCTTGTATTTTAAACAATTTCCATATCAATCTCAAAAAGCATATTTCGCATATTTTGAATACTTACAATCGGACTGTAATTATTGTGAAAATTATGTTTTACACCATCGCTAAAAACCATTATGTCGAATGATACGATTACATAAAATATAATGAACAGCTTTCCATTAATAAACCGCACCCTTGTCTCGTATTCATTTTTGAACAAATTAATTTTTGTTCAACAGCAACGTTTAAATGTTTTCTGTTTATAGGTCATTATGTATTTATTGTTTTACGTATTTTAACAAAATATGTTCATTTGTCACTACTTCTACTTCTAACACTATTTTAAAAGCATAATCATTTTATAGTGTATTTACAGTGTCAATCAACAACTTTACTTCTTTATAGTATATGATGAGCAAATTACTTTCCTAATGAAAAAATTGATTTAATTATTAGATTTTACATCATTATTTAATTGAATAGCGAATGGTTATCAGTAGATAATATGAAATAAATACTAATTCTCGTGTTAAATAATCATTAATTCCTCAAAAATTCCTCGTGTTAAATAATCATTATTTAACACGAGGAATTCGATTACAGTCGTCAATTATTGTTAGCCGTATAGCAGCGGTGTGACAATATCCACTACCCCATTAGATCCCGGTGGTGTCGTGAGGGGTTACAGAGTGACTCAAACCAGGAGATAGGCAGCGGCATCTTCCTAATAATAACTGAATAAAATCAAAACTACGGTTTTGCCTATCCGCTTGCCAAGAGTGGCATCTATGGCAAATGCCCCCTCTATGAGGTGCTCTGTGGCTATGTCTATGTTGAGCTGTGGACTTTTGATAGGCTGCAATGGTTATAAAATGTTACGTTCGTCACAATTCACGTAAAGCAAACGGAATATTATTTTTACATATTATTGGTATGATTTAAAATGAAGCATATAAACATTTTGAAACGAAGACAAATTCAACGAGACTTCACACTTCAATGACAGTAAAGTTGCTCAGGCTACAGGAAGCCATAAAGAAAGACATAAACATACATACACAGAGAATATTTATATACACACACCAGAAAGTATAAATTTCCTAAAAAAAAGTGAGATCAGGATGTTAAAAAGATTATTGACTAAAATAGGGTTCCTTAAGTCGTAACTGTAATCGCTGATATTTAAATTTTGATGTTCAACATAGTTTTGTAGTCTACTTAATTCTGCATCATACGTCAATGTTATTTTTACCATATCGCTGGCCTGGAATTCATTAACTTTAGCAGACACACTCATTGAACAAGCTATATTCACAATTTTTTTATAGGATAGAGTGACAAACGAGCACAGTTTAACAGTGGTAGAGCCATGCGGCAGCTTTTGCTGTCGCACGGATGGGCCGGCTCGAACCGGGGTGGTACCACGACCTCACAGAAAACCAGCGTGAAGTAAAGATTTACCTCTGCGTTTCGCTTGGTGAGTGCAGGTGGCCGGAGGCCCTTTTTACTGGAAATGAGGCATTCAATCTTAGTCCTCACGGGTGACAACGCATCTACATTTTGATTTGTAATAGAGGATAGATGTATATGTCTATGGGCCGCAACAACCACTTACCATCAGGTGGACTGTGTGCTCGTTTGTCACCCTTATCCTATAAAAAAAAAAACAGTCCGGTCACCGGTTCTTTACACTCATCATACTAAACACAGCACTGTTAAGCTGCTATTTTACGCCGATATTCTATGAGAGCGTGGTCCTTCCCCGGTCGATCCGACCCATTCGTGCTACAACTATATTACTAATATAGCTGTAGCTTGGCTCTACCACGTATAAATTTCTTACTTATGACATATGAAATTATATCCGTTACATGTCTTATATAACAAAATTGGTCTTGAGATACTATTTCGTTTGTTTTAACGAAATGGTTCGACTTCCTCATCCATCTTCTATAAAAAGAAATATATCGCTCACACTCGGAAATTACTCCTGTATCGTGAAAACGTTTTCCATACATAAATCACCCGTGCGGTAGAGCCATGCCATGCCGGCGTTAAATAGCAACTTAATACTGGCATGTTTCGTATGGTAAGTGCGGAGAACCGAAGACATTTTGTACTAGTAACCAGCCAATCCATCTTAGTCATAAGGAGGGAAGCTGTATTATGGCTGCAGCACGTATGCGTCTGTTCGATCGGCGAAGGACCACATTCACACAATACCAGCGTAAAATAGCAGTACTGTCCTGCTATTTCGTTTGTTGAGTGAGAAGAAGAGAAGACTTTTGTTTTCATTGAAAAAATTGAAAGCACCTGCAATTTGTTTTTTTATCGAGGATGGATTTAGGTGTCTTCCAGCCACAGCGTTCACTTATTGTCAGGTGCACTTTGTACAAGTTTTCCAGTCTAAGTCGTTAAAAAATATATCATCACGTACATTTCCAGTTTATCAGTTTACAGCTGTCATCGATCTATTACTCGATTTGTCGTATCATTTTTATCATAATGCGTCACGCGTTATAATCGATTTGTATAATGGCACATTTCCTTATCAAAGGATAAGATGTCATTATCAGGCAATTCTTACTGTCTATAAAAATACATCGCGGTTTCCTTTGTACACTGTATCTGCATCTTGAAACAATAATAGCAGCTTAGTATGTTTAACAGTTTACTTGTTTTACCTACTGACAGACTTAAGCTTGCAACTATAATAAAGATTTATAAAACGATGCTGATAACATCCCCATCTTTATGTATAATTCCACGCGGAAACTATCAGATAAGTTTATATAAAAATAGATTGTTATATGCTAAAATAGGTCCCATCTAGGTTTTATTGTGTAATTTTAAATGCATAAAAATTTGTCAGCATTAACATTCTGCTAGGGTCTTCTTTGTATATGTGTCACAGCTAAAAGTCCTAAGCGGGTATACCTAGGTTAAGCCGGCTACAAGGTGCAGCCGTTTCCAGTTGGTTGAACTTGGGTGTATTCGATTTTATAATAGCTAAAACTAGCTGTAACGCATTGTTACCTGGTTAAACTAGGTACTGTAAAGTCGAATTAATATTTAAAATTACTATGACTTTTATTAACTTTGTGAAAACTATGAAAGCACATAATATCAAGTAATATCAACGACAGCAGGATAAAGTTCCTTGTCGTAAAATTTACACAAATTATGTATTATCTGCACTGGAAATATTTATGAGTTGAACTGAACTAAAACTTAAATAATTTGTATGTTCATGACCATATACATAAATTATACACTGTGATAAATTATTTACACTTGCATCAACTTCTATCAAAAGAATGGACCCTTGAGCAGGGATTGAATACCCGTACCAATTTCGGTTCTGGTTCTTCATTTAGGTTCTTATAAAGGTTCCTCTTTTCGGTACGGTTCCAGTTCCGGTATCGGTTCCGGTTTGGGTTCCGATGTACCGGTTCTAAATACCGGTTCCGAGAACCTATAATCAAATTTCTCCAAATCCGTAGATTGGTTTAAAAATTCCGTACAGTAGATGCTATTTCAAAATATCCGTTCCGTTGAGGATCGACAAAATTTGTGTTTGAACTTAGTTGAAAAATTTATTCTGTCATGGAAAATTCTTGTTGTAAGTTTAATTGTAGTATAACATCGAATCAAGCTGCACATGTAAGAAAAAAGTACCATAAAAAATTGATTAAAATTAATTGTTTTCTTTTAATTTTGTTTTCAGTTAACAGTGGTAGAGCCACGCGGCAGCTTTTACTGTCGCACGGATGGGCCGGCTCGAACCGGGGTGGTACCACGACCTCACAGAATACCAGCGTGAAGTAGAGGTTTACCTCTGCGTTGCGCTTGCTGAGTGCAAGTGGCCGGAGGCCCAATTCCCCCCTCCCCTCGCCCATCAACATGGTAGCGGAATTGCATAAAATACTACCCCAGGAGGGTACCAGCACCCCTGGAGAATCCCTTGCTGAGCATCCACGACCAAACTACTACACTCCTGAACGTGGGTGCTCAGGCTGCCCCGCGTATTCTGGGGGGGGGGGGGGGGGGGGGCAAATTCCGCTCGCGACTACTAGTGTTCGGGGCAAGCGGACAAGCGGAGCAATAAAACCAAGGACCCCTGTCACGCTATCCGTGAATTTTTGCAACATCAGGACTTCATTCCAAACTTAACGCTGTCCATTACCATCTAGAGACGGCGAAGTCGGCCTTGTTCTATTTAATCGAGACTCAGGTGTCCTCTCTGGCTGATATTTCATATCTCTCCTACCCGGGGTACAAATTAGAACACACCTTTGTGCTCCGGGCTGGAGTTTGCGTATACGTCAGAGAGAACATCTGTTTTCGACGCCTCGGCAGTCTTGAAGGTACGGACCTGTCCATCCTATGGCTGCGCGTAGACAGCGATGACCATCCGCGAGTCTACGGGTCCCTCTATAGGTCCCATAGCGGTAATGCCGACACAGACCGACTTATCGACCACGTCCAAATGGCTGCAGACTCCGTGCTACAACAGGTCCCATCCGCAGAGATCATGATACTCGGTGATTTTAACGTCCACCACGGTGAATGGCTTGGTTCTCGTTTAACCGATCATGCGGGTAGATCTGTCTATGACTTTGCCTTGGCATATGGTCTAACACAACTGGTTACTTCGCCTACGCGGATCCCAAATGTGGAGGATCATGTACCTTCCCTGTTGGATCTTCTGCTGACCTCTCATTCGGACGGATATCAGGTCTCCGTCGATGCCTCTCTGGGCTCTTCGGACCATTTTCTGATCCGGA